CAATTTTCTGAGTTTCGTTGATGTGGCGTTGAACAGCATCAAAGGCACAGGGTTTAGGAGCGCCCCCACCGGGGTTTTGGCTACTCAGAGGGGGTGCAGGGTGATGCAAGTCCGCCTGAGGCTGTCTTGAGGCGCGTGTATAGAGCTGCTGGGGGATCACCGGGTCTGGGGACCCTGTGTGGCGAGAAGAGGGTGACTCTGCCATCCTAGTAGGCTCCTCTGCGCGTCAGCGCGGGGGCCTAGGTGGACGTTAGAGGCACGCCTGGAAACGGCGCGGCGAGCTTGTTCAGGTGCTGTGATTTTTAGGGCTCCCAGGAGGGTAACCCAAAAATCGAAAGATTGGATATCCGTAGGTGAATACGCGGGACCCAGGAAGGTCATTCGGGAGCAGATCTCGAAGCCATAAAGTCCCATTCTCGTGTTGCCATGTCGTATAAGCGTCCCCATTCAGGCCATGTATGGCCACAATGTCCACTCCTTTGATGTCTTTCGAATCGTCAGGCAGCTTCTTCTCGTCCAGAAGGAAGAGCCCGTAGGGTTTCGTGCGTATGGAGACTGGCGCTGAAGCCTCCGAGGGCTGCTGTGAAGAGGGTTCCTAGGAAATCCGAATGTCAAAAGTGCGTTACACAGCTTGCTTGGGAACTTGGAGGGCTACTAACCTTGGGGGCCAACTCTTTTCGTTTAAGTTTTCGAAGTCTCCTGCGTAGATCTAGCATCACGTTCGATCCGAATGGCTTGTACTTGTGTGTGATAATTGAACCGGCACCAAATGAAGTAGTTGAAGCAGACTCGAACTATTGCTCCTCCAGAGCAGTTGGCACATGGAGGACGGTGTCTGCCTTCTCCCAGCCATACATGAACTGTGCCGCAAGTATCCCTCACTAGCCCCGCTTCGCCGTGGCATGGTCGTTTCCATTCCGCACTCCAACGTGCCGATCCGTCCCACGTCTGGCCAATCATGATCCGGCATTAAGCGCAGGCAACGTCGCCTTCTCTCAACACCTGAGCCAGATGTCTTGCAGCTGCAGTTTTCGTATTGAACCTCACGAATTCACGTGGAAATTATTATACTCACTGTAATCTATTGCTCGTTGCTGCAAGGAAGCTGCCTAGAACCCAACTCTATCATGCTGTAGAAGTTCGAATCTATCGGAGGATGTGGAACGGAATCCGTGCGGGGTGAGGACCGTGCGCCTGATGGGACCGTGCGCCAAGTGAGAAAAACGGGCGGCTCGATTATCGATCCCGCGACACGTACACAGTGAAAAACACGACAAACAGCGAGAAATCAATTTTTGGAATTACCATCACAAAAAAGCATCAAAAATACCTGCCATTGGCCGCAATGGTCTCTACAGGTCATCGTGCGTCCCCCCGCGCCGATTTGACACCTGTAGAGGCGCTGTTGCGGCCCTGGCAGGCACAGAAAGACAAAATCTGCGAGCAAGCTACTTAACATGACGCGCCCCCCAAATGCAGCGGCAGTCATCTAGCCGCGACGCAGCAAAGCAGGACGCGACGACGAAGCCCAGACATCCCTTGAGCATAACGAGTACACAACACACACTACAGTCGCTGATGGGCTTCCTGGCTAGTCCATCATCATCCGACAATGTCTGCAACGTCCCGCATCGACGAGCCCTCGGGCTGAACAGCATCACCTCCCGCGCGAACCACCTCACAGACATCCCGGCATGCTACTATCGGTGCCACAACACACTCACAGATCATCAGACAGCCTCGTCCACTGTCGCCCCTCGTGTTGAGGGAGTGGTGCACCTTCGACACACCCGACAAGGTCTGAGGAGATTTGCGCGAGAGCTCTCATGCTCAGTAGGCTCGACGGCACGCACGAGCGGAGCATCGCTCCTGTGAAGCTGCGTCACGACGAAATGCCGCTGCCGTTGCGCCCGGTGGCAGGTCACACCACAGAACACAGCCGCATAGGAACCTAGTGGACGGCATCACAACAGTTGGAGAACATCGGAGATCAGAGAACATATTCCAGGCCCTGGGGTATTGGGGCAAGCTAGCACACACGACAGCTGAACGCTAGGGGGAGACTGAAGGTATTACGGACGCAAAGCATGAGGCATCCGTGCCTCTACGAGCCTTGAACAATGCTGCACACATGAGGCTTTGAGTACGGCATACACACAGGAAGAAAACCTGAGGAACAAAAACACAGGCAAACACGTCACTTCTAGCGACGAAATGTACATAGTCGTAGATAGAAGCCAGACAACGGCAGGCCTCTGGGGACAGATGGCTCTTTCGAGAGTGAAGTGGGGCGGTGCAGATTCACGTCCGCACCGCGTCGGCTGTCTGCCATGCCTGCCATCCGGGCATAGCTGCATTTCGCGGCTGAAACCGTGTAGGAATCAACCAAACCAAACCACTATCAGCCTTGACAAGCTGCACGCTAGTCAAGACAGGGCTGTCGTCGGTGATCAAGATCATTTCTTTGCTCAGAGGGTTTGTTAAGGCAAATTAGAGATAACTTCCTTCATCTTTATAACTGTGAACTCGCTCAAAACCTGTTACGATCTCGAAGGATACAAGCGGGGCTGATGGTTTATGACCAACAGGACGCGATGGATCGTCACCACGGGACTAGTACAGTCACGTGATGTCTCACGGATCCACCTTCGAGCCTCGCGCCAAGACTGTGGGACAAACTGTAGGACATGGTCACGAGACGTCCTACACTTCCCACAAACATCTCACACTTCTCACAAGGCCCCCCATGAACATAGTGCAGGACATGTAGGACATGTAGGACACTCTCTAGTATATAGCACAGAGGAACACAACCCTTATGGTTCGTGTTCAACCTCGTCAATCAAGTTTGTCTTTGGAATCTCAACCTGCCTTCAAGCTAGATAGTCTATTCTATACTACTTACTGCAACCCCTATCATCACGAGCTTTGCTTAGGTGATAACGCTACCAATCCAGAAACCGTACTCATCCCCGAGAACCAACAGAATCAGTGCTTATAAGTCTTCGACTAAAGTACGACTTCAGCAAAACCACTATAGCAATAATCTTGTTGTCTTGCTGTAATTACAATACATGAGCATTTGCTCTACATTCTAGCTGCATCCTTGATAAACAGAGGACAATCAATGCTATGTAATCGATGTTATCTACCAAGTTGTGATCGCAGTACACTTCTGTCCAGACTCCATTTCCGCGACGCTAGTCCAGTCTGTATATTGGCGGTCGTACTCCCTATACTTTCCAACCCTAAAAGTAAAGCCTTGGAATGTACATTCCCTCTGGCTTAGCTCCCATCCCTCACTACGTATAACATCAACAAGTGGCGGGTCCCCGGCCCAGAAGCTTGAGCCCCCAAAACATCTGAATATAAATTGCACAGGGTCGCTGCTAGAAGGTTCAGAACTATCTGACATGATTTTTGTAGGAGGATCCAGGTTTAGAAGAAATACGGGTCGAAGGTTTTGAAGCTGCGTAATTGGACCGTCGATCCCACGGATGTCCTGCGAACATAGAGTTCTAATCCTTTTCTCTGGGTCTTTCCAGTAACAATACCTGGTTTGTATGTCTTCTTCCCTGCTAGAGAATAAGTAACAAAAGTCCTGCCCCAGAACCTCAGGCACATCTAGCCTGCTTACGGCAAGCGTGAGCTGCTCAAGCTGATATCCTTCTGAGCTAGGGATGCCTCCACGTAGGCTTGCGGAAAGGAGATCGTCTTTGTACTGGAGCTCACCACAGCCATCAAAAGTGGCGAGCACAAGGCGAGGCTGTGCTTTATCTGTCGTAGGCCCGCTCAAGATGTCCAGATCAGTGCCAATCAATACCATCTTTGCGTCTTGCGCACAGTGGCTCTCTAACCAGCGTTCATTTTTGAAGACAGCAGTCCATACCTGGTCGTAAGCATTGGATTCGAAGTTGAAAATCTTAGCTGCTATCAAGGCTGACGACGGAAGAAGCCATGTAGTGATGTTGTCCCACACCTCCTGGGGAAGATGAGGAACGGGGATCTGCCTGCCCCTGTGTTTCCATTTCAAATTGCTGGTTTCCTCAAGTTAGAGATAACAAACAAGCCATGCTGGGGAGAATAGTGAACTTTCTGCTAGAGGGCATATGCACTTGCATAATAAGAGCTGGGCGTATCGTGATGTTCCGCTCTATTAGTTGTCTTCAACAGTTGGTATAACAGACTGGTATGATTGATGGGTTGACAGAGGGCAGTGCTCTAGATATAGGTATTGTTCGGCCCCCAACCTTCCTCTCCCAATTGCTGCAGGAAGACCAGGTAGCATGTGATGGTCGGAGATCGGGATCAGTGATCGCTATAAATAGCCAGACCGGTAGATGCCGCCGCCGGGTCTGACAGGTTCCGCGCCACCAGCGCGTGCAAATAAGATGCAAATTCTGTGTCCTTAGGGCTCTGTTTTCAGCAGCGGCGACACCGGAAACGGTAAAATTAAGGGCTTTTGTGGTGAGCGGCCAGGAGACAACAAGGCTTCCCGTTCGCTCAGCCCTATTTAAGCAACGTACCGGCGGATTAGTAGTTAGGTGGGTGACCACTAGCGAATACCCGCTGTTGTATGTTTTTATTTTCGCATATTTTTGCACCCCTCGAGAGAGCCTAGGATGGACATCGTGCTTGATGGTTAGAAAGATGGTTAGAAATCTAGCTGGATCTCGTCCGATGTGTTTCCCTGCATATTCTTTTGCTTAGGGTTTCTTTACTACGTAGAAAGCCTTTGCTGGCTGGGCGGCGCATGGGACTAACGAAACTTCCGTACCTGCTTTTGCCGTCATATGTAATGCTTTGCTTTCTATCTTTTCCTGTGATGCGGCCACCTTTAGTTTTGTGGTCTTCGTGGAGAGCTTTGTCCTTACTTTGTCCTGTAGCAATAATTCCACTATCCGTGTCTGTGCATCTGGCTTGGAACAAGTCTAAAAGTATACAGGCCGAACAGGGCGACGGTAAGTGACGCGGAAGATGTACGGTAATTCAGCGGGTTCTTTGGGGGCCAGTCTAGACTCGAAGAAGTTGTTAATTTTCAGATGGCTAGGAAGATCTCGTACCTATGAAAGAATTGGAGAGCTGCCAAACTCAGTGCTTACTTTGGCTTTGCTGGGCAGCGAGCCTTGTCGCAAACCCCACACTCATGCGGGCTTCTCACAGTCTGTACAAGCATACATCTTCACGAATCCCGCTGCGGTCGCATACTGGATGCGCAGCGTCGCATTATACCTGCTACCAGTATCTTGTTAGTAAGCCGCCAGCGAGCTCGACATCCGATACGATAACAGCCGAACCTTTCGTTGCTAACGAGTTTCGCAAGAGAAGGTAGACAGAGTCACCCCACGATTCGCATCTTCCCTCCCGCTATGGACAGCCTCCGACCAGAAAGGTATCAATACGCTTCGTTGTACGCAGCTCCTGACGCGTCCAAGAGTCGGGGTACGACGGGTAGCAAAAGCCACCGCCTCTAGCTTCGGTCAAACTTCCAACCTTCCCCACAGGCTTTACCTGATTCGGAGCTAGGCTTGATCGTTCACTGATCTGGACGTCGTGTGGCAAAATCTAGTCGTCCTGAAGTGCACAGCAGAGCACGGCAGGAGAACGCGGCAATCTGGAAGTGTAGACACAAATTCCCGCATGGGTGCAAAGCCGCTCGCTTGTCTTTGACCAATTACCCATGCTCGGCGGCAGTCATCCGTCCATTTGAAATGCCGGTCGGCTTTTGGCAGCTTCATCTCCAAGAATACCCCACACCCCACAATGCGCTAAGCCATGCACGACGTGGAATTGCCAATTACGACCTATCGTGGATTATGCATGACTAATTTCCCCGTAGCCGGTGCGCCCCATGAGCCATCACTGAGGACCAGCTTCTTCGTACAACATCCCAGTCCATACGTGGACCCGCTTTCGGCGGTATTGTGCACGACATGGACATCTCATATACGGAAGGGATGGCCTACAGGTACAACAACAACAACAACCACCACCACCACCAAGCAGAACCGGGAACAGGAAGGCATCAATCATGGGAATCCATACTCTGTCAACATTATACTTCGCAGCCGTCAGCACAGCTGCGCAGATAGTGCAGCTCAACATACCTGATGCGCCTCCATCACGCTCCCAGACCCTTAGTGGTTCTTTTCAAGGTTACTCAATGGAGATCGCCTCTTTCGCAGACATGGCTGGAAATGTGTCGTACGTTGAGCATCATAACGACTTACTAGATGAACCACTAAACTAAGTACTGTAGAGCGCCAAACAAGCTGTCATATCGCTTGCTGCAGAATCTCAAGGACATCTCGGGCGCAGCAGCTCCGGTCCGAGTCGGCGGTACTACTGCAAACCATGCCACATGGTCACCAAACCAAGAAGAAGCTATCATTCAGTACTTTGCCACACCTGGCGCTGATCAGCCGGCGAACGTGACTTTGGGCCCTGCATATCTTGAGTCGTTCAGGGTGTTTCCTAAAGGCACAAAGTACACAATTGGCGTGACATTCGACAGCGGCGCAAAGGGCGAGAACAGCAGCGTGACCGAAGCTGCAGCATTCTACAATGGCATTGGCAAGGATCTGTTTGCCATCGAGGTTGGTAATGAGTTCGACTGTAAGTCCACAACCTCTCCAAACGCATTTATCCTTCGACAATTTCCCAATGCAACCCCATAGCATTCCCTGTTGACCGCAACACCACCACCTGGAACATCGCCGAATACGTTCCTGAATGGCTCTCCCGCACAGCCGCCATCGCATCCCGCGTCCTCCCCAAAAACAACCAAAAGATCTTCCAAGGAGGCACCTTCACAGCGCCCGGTACCGTCACCTCAGACGTCTCATGGACAGCCCAAGCCGCTATCGAACTGGGCGTAACATCAAACGGGCTCGCAAGGACATGGTGCACACACCAATACTTTGGTGCGGCGTGCCATGCCGCCACACCGTCGCTCGCCGGCAACGTCATGAACCGCACGGCGCTGATCAAAGGCATGGACTACCATGCCGGCGCGTCGAGCTACACCGTGGCCAGGGGAATGCCGTATATCATCGGCGAGACGAATTCGATTGCGTGCCAGGGCCTGGCGGGCGCGAGTGATGTGTTCGGCGCTGCGGTGTGGAGCGTGGATTACGCGCTGTATGCGGCGAGCTTGAATGTGTCGAAGCTGTATTGGCATATGGGTACGGGATATAGGTACTCGGCGTGGCAGGCGACTCAAAATGGGACCACAGCCGCAGGGCCCAGGCCGCTGTACTACGGCAACTGGGTCATTGCTACTGCGCTCGGCGACTCGGACGCGCAGGTTGTGTCCATCATCAACACGACGAGCCTCGCTGGGTATGCAATCTACTCTGGCAAGCGCCACCGTTCAGAACTCAAGAACGTGGTGTTAATCAACATGGAAATATTCAACTCGACTTCAACCCCCGCAAGTCAGAGGTCGAGCGTTGACTTCGCGATTCCGGAGAAGCTTGGATGTAAGAATAGGGAGGCAAGTGTAAGACGTCTTACTGCAGCTGGCGCAGAGGCCAAGGACAATATCGCATTCGCTGGTCGTAATGTTGCGCTCGATGGCACAATAAGCGGCTTTGAGGTGACAGAGCGGGTTGCGAACGGTGTGGTGAATGTCAAGGCCAGTGAAGTCGTGTTAATCAGCCTGGCCTAGTCTAGATGTAATTTTTTCAGTGAGCCATTGAAGCGCTGTCACCCTTGCATTTTAATGTGATAAATAGTGACAACATTTGGACAAGCACTTCACCTATTCAGCGAAGTCATTTCTCTTGTTCAAGGCATACACAAACATGAAACATAATTTGAGTTGCAGATTTCTAAGAGGTATCCACAGGGTATTTGTAGGCCTCTTGTAAGGCGTCACACTCCCAGAGGACTACAGTATTCTCCAAGCAGAGTCCACCGTTTCAATTACTTCTCTAATGCTCTACTGGATGGTCAATTGCTCCTCAAAATAGCGTGGCCCCTCAACAATGCTGTATCAAGTGTGCAACGGGTTGTATGATGCGGCACGCAAGATGGTCGGCCTGTCTCTGACGCTGGTTCATTCCGAGGACCTCGGGCTTACTGAACAATGATACAATTCCTTTATTTTATTGCAGCAGGAGACTATCTGTAAGTGAAATGCTGTACCTAGCGTTCAAGGTTTGGAGAGTTCGAGGAGATGGAGGAGTGGGACCGCCTACCGTGTTAGTGCGCGTACCGTGTCCGTGCACCCAACGATCGGAGTCAACCAACGATCAGGGCACAACATTTGCAGTAGATTTCAACGTGTAAAAACTCAACCACCATGACAGGAATTTTAGATGAGCTTGCAGAGATTAATAATCTAAAGCTAGGCAACAAACTTATAAATATAAAGCTTGCAGAAAAACACAGTGTTGATTGCAACAAATTGTCCTGTGCGCACTGAGGTGTGCAGGCTCCCTGACGCGTCGCTAACAAGTGTAAAGTTATGAGACTTTATTCTTATAATCTTTCTCTAGCGTATTTCCTTCTTAGGTATAGCGCTATGCTTACCTAAGCATTGTTATTGTAATCTCTAAGAAGAGAGGATTAGAATGGTGTGCTTACAAAGCCTGTATCTCCTCTTATTCTTAAGATATACTGTTCTCTATTTTTAGTAACTAGAGATATTCTAGATCCTCTGCTTACAAATACAGTAACCTACTTTGTAGATGCTGACGTATATAATTACACATACACCTATGTAATCTTGCTTACATATGCAGCAATACTAAGCATAGATTACTAAGTAGATCTACCTAAAGGAGTCTAGAATGTTCTGCTTAGTAGAAATACAGATAGAGGAGAGGAAGCATAAATACCTCTAGCTCTCCCCCCTCTGTTCGCTCTGTACCTAGCCTAGGAATCTCTACCTAGTATCTAATATAATAACTTGTCTATTATATTACGTAACCCTACCTTACCTCTATTAGGCTATACGCTTCCTTTTTAGACAAAGCTAGTCTAGATTTGTCTAGGTTCTTCTAGACTAGGAAGAAAGTAGTCTAGTCCTTACCCTACTTTCTTTACACTATCTGCTAAGCGCCCTTTACTAACTATTTAACCTGCTTATCTGATAAACTTGCTAGAGACCCTTAATAGATTTAAATCTACTTTTAAATTAGAGTTAACTGCTCCTCTACTTTATAAGCAGTGTGTGGTGTCTTTAGCTCCTAGGCAACGTTGCTAGGTTTTAGTAGTGTTAGCGTGCGCAGGTGCACATTAGACTTTAATAACACTACCTCTAGGTTGTGTGGGACTAGCCTAGCACCTCTAAAGCCTGCGTGAATGTTCTTTACAGTAAAAACCTTACTAAATACTAATTTAAAGGCTAGCAGGAAGGTTTCCTTATTAATATTGTAGATATAACTGCATACTAAGGCTAAAACCTTGTCGCCATACAGGCGCTTTAGTGGCGAGAAGCAGGCAACGTCAAGTAACTGCAACAGGTGCAACAAGTGTGGGGGCATACAGAGAGTAATTATCTTCTTCTCTCTGCAGAGATCTTAGAAAGCCACTAAGCAGTGGCTCTTATAGCTGTTAATAATAAGTATCTAGTAGACCCTAACTAGCTTTGCATGCGTATTAAAGTAGTAGAGCTAGGCAAGCACTAGATTATTGTTAGTCTAGCTAGTAGGACTAATATTAATAACCTAGTCCTGTAGGAGGTCCTTAGTAAACTAGTTAGAGATAAGAACCTTACCTACAAGTAGGCTGGCGGATGGGTAGGGTAGGGTAGGGTATAGGTATAGTCACGTGATTTATGGGTAGGAACTAGGTAGGGTACATGAGGTACCCTACCCAAACGGTTTGGGTAGGGTAGCACGTGACT